ATATTATATATATTTAAAAGATTCTTTAGAAGCTATAAAAGGTCGAATTATAGATAGATATTCTTAAATATAAATTTTATATTTAAAAGATAAAATTTTTAGATCTTTTTATTTCGATTAATAGTCTATAAATAGATTTTATTAAAATTTAAGCTATTATTAAATAATCTACTCTTATTAATTTAAAGGAGATATAAGTCTTTATTAGCTTTTATAACTTCTATTATTAATTTATAAGAGATTTCTCGAAGATTGTAAAACTAATAGTAAAACTTATAGTTAAGAAAGTAATATTTGATTAATTATCGATCTATTAGAAAGCCTTTTATTTACTAAAGATAGCTATTATAAGAGCTTTAATTCTACGCTATTTCGATAGATCGAAAAACGCTATACTCGAAATAGACTTCTCTAATTATATTAATAATAGTATTCTATTCTAATATAATAATAATAAAATCTTATACTTAGTAGCTTTTTATAGTAAGAACTTTATTTTAATTAAGTATAATTATTAGATCTATAATAAGAAGTTACTAACTATTATTCGTTATTTAAAATACTAATATCCTAAGTTAAAATATATCGATATCTCTATTAAGATCTTTACGAATTATAAGAGCTTAATATACTTTACTAAAGAAAGAAACCTAAATTATCGCTAGGCCCGCTATTTAAATATACTATTTAAATTTAATATTAAAATTATCTATCGTCTAAAGCCTTAGAATATTAAAATTAATATATTTATATATATAGTCGATTTTAAATTAAATAGTTTAGAGAATAAACGCTTAAAGTAGTAATATTAGATAATATTTATATCTAATCGCTTAGAATTTAATAATAAAAACGTTAGAATTTATATTATTAATAACTTTATCTTTTATAGAATAGTTTAGAAAAATAAGACTAATAAGTTCTATAATAAAATTCGTAAGGTAATTATAAAAGATAAGAATAAACTCCGCGGAGTTATATTTAATAAGTGCTTTATAGAGAATAGGATACTCTATTATAAGAATCGCTTATGGATATTAGAAGATTTATATATTAACGTTATTCGCGAAGTATACGATTAACTCTTATATAAATATCTAGACGTAATTTATATCTATAAGCTATTTAAGCGAGAATATTATTAGCGAGATATAAAAGCTATTATTACTATCTATATTCGAAATTACTATATTTATTATAAATCTAAAATCTCTTATAATTAAGAATATAGCTTATTATAATCTCTATTAATTTCTTAAAAGTAATAATAAGATATCTCGATAAACTTTATAATAGATTTATTTATATTTAATAAATATAACGCTATCTAGATAGCGATAGACCGACTTATTAAGAAATAATACTACGTCGTATACTCTAATATAAATAAAAAAACTACGATTGAAAAGACAATTAATATATTACTTAAGAAGGTCTTTCGCTTATATAATCTATCGGCGTTAATAATTTCGAATAAAGGCTCTTAATTTATATCGATAATATAAAAAGTTTTTTATAAACGACTTAAGATTAAGGCTAAGCTATTAATAATTTTTTATTCTAAAATTAACAAATAGACTAAATGGGCTAATTAGAATATAGAATATTATCTTTAAATATATTATAATTATATATAAGACGATTAGTCTAAATAATTATTTATTATTAAGTTTATTAATAATAATATTACTTTTATAGTAATAAGTGTTTTATTATTCTTTATAAATAAGAGCTTTTACTCTCGAATAAGTTTTAGCTTAGATACTATCGACTATAATATTACTCGTAAACGCCTTAATACTACTTAAGCGAAAGATATTATTAAATATATATAGTAAGTTCTTAATTATATTCGAAATAATATAAATCGCGCTTAAAAGATTATAATAACTTAGGTTAATAAGCGATATTAAAAGATTACTTTTAAAGTAGATAATATAATTTTTCTTAGTAATAAGAATATTATCTCGAATTAATTATCTTAAAAATTAAATAATAAGAGGCATAGTCTATTTAAAGTAATAGGTCTTATAAAAATCTTATATCGCTTAAAGCTTTTAGTGAGTATAAAGATTTATAATATATTTTATTTTAATCTCTTAAGTCTTATATCGATAAACCTCTTATTTAAATAGATTAATTCTTTATCGAAATATATTATTATTAAGGGTTAAATTGAATAAATAATAGAAGAGATTATTATCTTTAAATTTATTAATAGTCGCCTTAAGTATTAAGTGAAATAGAAGGGTCTTAATAAGAATCTTAAATAATATAACTCGAATAGTGGCGAATTTGAAAATTGTTAAGATATAATTAATGATTTTTATAAGCGATATTCGTAAGTAGTTTATTAAGCCTAGTAATATCTTAAATATCGCGTTTTTAAATAAATTAAAATTATTCGATATTTTATAATAACTTTATTTTCTTCGCGTTCGTAATTCGATTTTTTAGGTCTATATTATTTTATAATAGCCGCATTTTAGACTTATTAGATCGTCTTCTTTTATTAATATAACTCTTAATATATTCTAAGACTATACTAGGTTATACGCGGATCTTATTATTACTATTATTGAATATAATCGATATCGACTAGATAGTTTATTATAAAGAAATTTACATTAAATTAATTTAATATTAAATTAAAGTTTAGCGTCTATAACTCGATTTAATTTAAGATCTCTTAATTAATTAATTTATACTATTTTATTAATATTCTTTACGCTAAAATATTAACTCGAGAATTACTATTATCTATTAAAACACTCATATTTACTACTCGCCTATTATTATATCGATTTCTTTTAGACTAGAATTTCTATACTCGCTATATTTTTGGCTAGTAATAACGCTAACGCGAAGACCGAGATATAAGCTCTCGCTATTTATATTACCGTCGAGAAAGATTATAATATTAAAGATTCTAGATATTAAAAGTTCTTTATTATTTTATTAATTTTCAAGCGAGCGTATATATATAATATTTTTACTACTCTTTTACTTATTAATTATAAGAATATAATTCTATAAGAAGAGAGGGGTAGTATTATAATCGTATTCTATATCTCTCTTAATATACTATTTAGTTCTATAGTCTATTAGGGCCTAGCGTATCTTAATAGAGCTATCTACTACTATCTAATGCCTTCTATCTATATAGCTATTCGATATCTAATTATCTTATTTAATATACTTATATTAATATTACATCTATATTAGTTCTAATATTATTTATTATTTAGGATACTATATAGACTAAAACAGTCTAATTATAAATAATATAAGACGCTAGTAGAGTTTCTACTTAAAATTAAATTTATATACTTATAATTCGACTTATACTTATTTCTCTATTAATTAGATAAAGAAATCGTCTTTCTAGTTATCTATATCGATAATATTAAAATCGTCGATAATTAATTATTAGTTAATTAGGCTAAGAGACTTCTATATAAATAATTTAATATCGTAAATCTCGGTTTATATATATACTATCTAGGTATAAAGATCGAGAGAAATCGTTTAATAAGAATATTTAAAATAAGTTAATTTATATTTATTAATAAGATTCTTATAATCTATAATATAGGGGAGTATCGTATCTCATCTATTCTAATAAAATCAAATATAAATAATTATCTTATTTTTATATCTAATATATATACGATTAATCTAAAAGATATTATTATATTTAAGAGTAACTTAGAGGAAATTAACTATTTAGCTACTTAGATATAATTAAATATAGCGTTTATTATTAATAAACTAGCTATATTCTCTTTTAATTTAAATTATTAATATTAATAAGTATATAAAAAGATATTATAATATCTAGTTAAGATTAGAATATATAAAGTAATCTTCGAAATTATAAAAATAATAATACTATAATTATTCGATTACTTAGATATTAATTAGATTAATAAGATATCTATAATATAATTAATAATTAAAATAATTATAATATTAAATAATAGATTTATTAATTAAAGATCTATTAAGTAGAAGACTATAGTATAATCTATATATAAAGTCGAATATATAATTACTTCTAATACTATTTAGAATATAATATAAATATAATATATTTTACTAGAGCTAGAATAATAGCTAGATAAACTATTTATAATATAATATAATAATAAAAGAGTTATTAATTTAATAAAGAACTCTATAAATTATAAGAGATTACGCTATATTAATATTAATTATTATTTTATACGCGAATTAATAGCTAATTAAACGCTAAGATATAAATATATATTTATAAAGAATATAAAGGCTAATAATCTTATTAAAGTATTAATTACTATAAAATTTAATAATTTTATCGAGATAATAGAATTAGTAGATAAAGACCTAAACTAATAAATTAGAATAATATATAATTTTGGCGTTAGAATAGAGGTATTTAGATATTACTAGATAGGGGGAGTGTTAGCGTATCTAGTTCCTTTATGTTCTATATATATATTCCTTCTACATCCTTCCATATATATTCTATTATTATTCCTTTCATGTAGCTAGCTATAGATAGTAGTGCTTTATTCTCCATCAGCTACATAATAGCTGATAGCCCCACCACTGAATCTATATGCTTTCTATCACCACTGCTGTGCTACGCTGAGAAATTACGCTTGACATGCATGCAGCTTCGAAGAGGTGGGCGCCAAAGCGCGGATCGCCCCAGGGTTAAGATAGGGTCTAGCTGTGTGGGGGACAAAACCCATCAACCCAGACCGCTCTCTCGCAGTAACCCGTAATCTCTTTTCACATTTTGATCAAAAGCTCCTCTTTCAAGATCTAGCGTCGCTCAGAATCCACTAGATCTATAGTGTATAACATTGTGGAACGATAGCGATGATGTACATTTATAGTGACAAGCAGCCTCTGCTTCTTATATGACAATAGATCGTGATATGTTAGATGATCATAATTGGCGCCTTTACCCACGATGATTATCGAATTACAGCGCCTGAAAAGTTGCCATTTTGTTACGGGGGCGCTGTCGCTTGTGGATGCACCTGTTCTCGGAGGCTGTTGGCACTTCTTCGCATCACAGGAATCAGAACTAGTAATCCACTCGTCATCGTCATCCCGCCAGCGTATGCAACAAGGTACTGTAATTGATTAAAGGACATTGACGAAAGATCAAAACCTCTTTGACGAACCTTGTATCTTCCTATCGCATAGTCTTGAATTTGTACCTGTGGCGAGCGATTCAAAAGTGCTGTGCCGACCGGCCCAACAGATAGGATCGCCCACCCTTCAAAGAAGCTGAAGAGGCTATGAATCGTAGTGAAGAGCTCACTGTTATTCCCTGAGACTTCAGAGAAAAACGAGAAAAGACAGTTGTGAAAGCCTTTCCTTCGTTAGCTCTAGCGGTCCCGGAGGAAACGTACGTACTCACCTCCATTCGTGAGTCCAATGCAAACCGCGTATACAAATACACCAGTCTTTGTTTTTGCCAGACCCCACATCAAGAAGTGGATTAGCGATGCTAAGAGAGCAGAAGCGCCCATGAGGCCTTCGTTAAAGCCTCTGTCGCTCAGCTGGCCAATGGCAGAAGTTCCGACCAAGTTGCTGGCGAACACTAATGAGAGTGCCAGCGCTTGATCGGAAGTATCAATGTTAACATCCGACGAAAATTTTGTGATGAACATCATGGGAACATTGGTTACAAGTGCGAACAACAGAGCAACAAAACAACGCTAGCTTTGAAACCGGTGGCTGCACGGGCTTTGAGACCACGGTCGATGCTGGATAACGACCACGAAAGAGCAAAACGGTTGGCAAGAGAAGTGCAAGCATCGGCGCCAGAAGGACTCGTAGTGTTTTCTCATAGCCATGCTGGTCGAGGAGCCATTGACATATTAGAGGAAACGCCAGACCACCAACTCTGTATCCAAGCCAGATAATACTCAAAGCTTGGCTTTGCTTTTTGTCAAACCATTCCGAGAATATAGAAACGTGCACGAAATTGAGAAGGATGCCACCAATGCCGTAAAGGATGCCCTGCGTCAAGACGATTTGCCAAGCTTCGCGGGCATAGCTCGCCAGAATCAAAGAAAGAAGCATGACCGTGATACCAATTAGGACCAAAGTTTGCCGATATCTCGCCGCTGTTGGAAGTATCTGGAATAAGATTCCTTCCTCTATATCCTGGAGTCCTGGTGCCAGGAGAGGAAGGATCACTGAATCGGCATGCCTCGAAAATCTTTGAGACGAAAGATGGGTTTGAAAGACTGGAAATGCCTGGGGGAATCCTATGAATCCAAGACTAAGTGAAATGCCCCCTAGACGATTTTGAGAAGCGAACTACTAAACCCAGACGACAATGAACATTGCAAAAGCGCTGGCAACATAGCTCCATGCACCAAATCCCTCATCCACAGGGTGCAACCTGAAGCCCTGTGCAGTTTCATCGAAACTTCCTAGTTCAAGTGTATTCGTAGGTAGGTCTTGAGTTGAAGGAGACCGAGAACGGTGGCTTTTTGGAATCTTGGGAACCAGTCGGACTTGAGCAGTGGTCTCGGATCTTCCTCTGATCGTATTCTTTGACTCGTCGTTGCTTGTTTCTTTTGTAGAAGCAGGTGAAGAAAGCACGGTCAGGCGCGTTCCAGCCTGGCCTAGAGCGCTGTCCAGTACTTGATCTGCGGGCGCTTCAGACCGTGCTAGTTCAACCCGAAGAGCGCTTTCCATTTTCGTACGAGCCTCGCGCACGTCCTCCCCGTTCAGGGCGACGTCAGTCGTTATCTTATAGTCCGACATTACAATGGAAACGGTGATTTTAACACTTTCTCTTTGGGGTGAATGCCATTTCGTACAAGCGGAGAGTCATACATATTGCGTAGAACCTAGTGGAGGAGAAAAGGAAATGCAGCCTTTTCCAAGTAGCTACGTAGCCGCGCATGCGGCTCGCAGTCACATCGTTCGGAGATCGGGCGTTAAAGGCTACTCTAGGTAAAGTGATCCAGGTTGCATAATAAAGCGGCAACAAGTCATTAGGGCTTTGTCTGAGGCAGAATGTCTCGGTTGGACTCCATCTGGGGTGCGGAGGGTTCGCAAATCGCAGATACAATAGAGTCGATGGCGTTTTCAGGGTACTCGTGCACGATGCTGTCGAAATTTGTCGAAATATGGAGTTCCCAGCCATGTTCCTAGCTACTCTCCGCTATAACCTATACGTATGTCGGCTATATCACTCTATTTCTATGAGGTTAAAGATATACCCTAGAAGAATTTAGAGATAAAATAATTATTCTTTCATATCACCGTTATTTATATATTATTCTTTTTAATAGATTATAAGCTCGAAAGCGAATAGAATAGTATTAAATATTCTTTATACTTTCTAATAGAATATTAGTTAATACTAATATATAATAATCTTATATCTATAGATATATCTTTATTAATATTATAATAGCTTATTTTTTTAACTCGTAATTATCGACGAGAGAATTATCGCAATTTAATCTTACTATAAAAAATTAAGTATTCTATCGTTATAATAATAAAGTCTTAAACTTAATCTTATAATAATAGTTATTAAGACGAGCGTTTTAATTTTAAGTCTCTAAATAAGTAATATAAGAAGAGTATTAATTTCTCTCTAAGAAGAAGATTTATACGTCTATAATAACTATACTTTATATAATTTTATTAAAAAATAGTTTTCGTTATTAAATTATTTTTATTATTTAATATCTTTTATTAGAATATTCTTATTAATATTATTCGAAGTTTCTTATATAAGTACTTCTTATTTTTTATATAAGAATTCGAATCTTAAAGATAATATCTAATCGCTTTCGATATTAATAAGACTTTTAAAAAATCTAACGAAGAGTAATAGAGCCTCTATTTTACTTTAATTACTCTATCGTTATATAATAGCGATTTTAAGACTAGCGAGAATATACTTAATTTTCTAAGTAATATCGAGCTATTTAATTTCTATATAAAGTTATCGCTCTCGCCTTTATCTATTTTTTTAAAAGTATATTTAAACTTATTATTATCGTCTTTCTCGTCTTTATTCTCTTTTAAAATAGAAGATAATTATCGATTACGATTAGAAAGATTTATTATAAATTTACTTATTAATAATTAAAGAGCTAATACTCTTTCTCTTTTTTCTATAAGATTTTTTAAGATTTAAATAAGACTAATAAGAAGTTAGAGAAATTTTATTAAACTATTTATAAACTATTTAAAGAAGAGATTTAGATTATTATAAGCTATTTATAAAGAAGTATCGAAATATAGAGTTCTTAGTTATATTTTCAACTACTCTTCGCTATAATCTATACGTATATTAGCTATATTACTCTATTTCTATAGAGTTAAAGATATTCTCTAAAAGAATTTAAAAATAGAATAATTATTCTTTCACATTATCGTTATTTATATATTATTCTTTTTAATAAAATTTAATCCTTACGCGTCTCAGTTATCGTATTTCTCAGCTATTTAATTTTATACTATACTTAGAATTCTTAAGCCTATTAATTAGATTAGCTCGAAGCTATTACTCTCGTAATATTTTTATAATACTCTTATAAATATAATCTTATATATATTCTAATTATCTTTCTAAGTATCTATATCTTATAATCTAATTTAGACTACGATATCGTATTCTATACTCTATTTTATTCTATTCTTAATATATAATATCAAAATTTAGAGGGGTCGCTCAGGGGTACTCGGGGTCCACCGGGTCAACGGGGTATACCCCGAAACCCCGCTCCGGGTCGGGGCGGGGTCGGGGTTTCGAGGAAACTCGAAACCCCGACCCGAAACCCGACCCCGACCCCGACCCCCCTCGAAACCTCATCGGGGTCCCCCGCCCCGTTGCGCAGCGTAAGAGGTTTTGAAGAATTAATCCGTCCGTTCTACACATCACATACCTAATATTTTAACAGCTACTACTATTATAGCTATTACTATTTATTATTCTAGTAATAGTTATAATAGTAGTAGTTATAATAGTAATAGCTTAATAGTAATAGTTATAGTAGTAAAATACTACGATACTATAGTCGTACGATTAGTCGTTGACTAGAATAATAATTAAAATAGCTACTTATACTTCTAAATATAGAAATCTTAATCGAAATATTCTATATATATATTATTCTATAATATAATATTATAAATATACTATTTCGTAATATATATTATTAAGATTTCGAATTTATATTAAAAAAAAGATATAGTATTTAACTCTATTTCTATTATACTCGAATATAATATAATATAAAATATTAATCTATTATTTATACTCTAATAAGATATAGAATATTAATATTTATATTCTATTATATCTAATACGATATAGAATCTTAATAATATATAGGACAGGCGCTTGAATTTTTGGAGATATTTTTGTAAACGCTCAGACTATTTCCTCTAGAAAGTGGGCAGTGCATGCATGACAACGCATCATATGACGCAAACGCTATAATAAGACTCTGCCTACCCTGAAGGTACTATGAATTTAGCATCTTCCCCGCAACTCCGTTCATTTGCACCAACACCAAAGGACTATTGCAACTGATCACACTACCTCTATCACCTCCGTCATAAAGTTTCTCCAATATGCCTCCCCAGCTCATTTTCGGCACCGCCTCCTTCGGCATGGACATGACCGATTTCCAAGACCCTCCATCCCTCTTCGCTCTCTACAAGACACTTCAAGAGTTAGGCATCCGTAAACTCGACTCGGGCGCTCGCTACCCGCCATTGAATCCCGGAAGGGCGGAATCGCTGATTGGCGAGACGAAGGAGATGAATAAGGAGTTTCTTATTGATACCAAAGTCTTCACCGATGTGCGGACGGACGGCAGTGGGGATCTGAAGGGTGAAGCCATCGAGTCATCAATACAGGGGAGTCTACAGCGTCTTAAGGCGGCAAAAGGAGTAAGGAGACAAATGAAGTGTTGCCCCCTACCATTCATTGCTGCTATATATCACGAGAGCAGCATCCATTTGGCTTGATTAACGCTGCCTCATTTGCTTCAAGGTAAACATCCTTCACGCGCATCGAGCCGATCCTTCCACGCCACTCGACAAGCAGATCCAGGAATTCAACCGGCAGATCGAGCTGGGTCGTTGTGAGGCCGTACGTCTACTCCAGCATCCCCCCTTTCCATGACCGCGTCCGGATTCTTTCGTTACCGTACTGACACACCTCCTTCCGAGTAGTGGGGAGTCTCAAACATAGCTCCACAGATGCTAGAGGAAATGATTCTGCTGTGCGAGAAGATGGGCTTGCGGAAGCCGGTTTGCTACCAGGGCGACTACAATCTGATTACGCGTGGTATGGAAACGGAATTGCTGCCTCTGCTACGCTCGCACGGCATTGCCTTCAATGCCTTTAGGTGAGTTACTACTGCGCTATTCGTTTCAATACGCCATTTTGTAACGAGTCATCAAGCGACGACCAGGGGTGAAGCTGATCTCTTTAACCGAGCAGGCCCCTCGCTGCAGGGTTTCTAACTGGCAAGCTTGTCAATAACGAGCATGGAGGTACTCGCTTTGACGACAGCAATCCGCTTGGTAAAGGCGCGCAGAAGCTCTTTGGAGGAGAACAGCTGCACTCCGCCATGAGAAAGTTTGACGTGCAGGTACGATTGCAAAATATCACACCGATGGAAGCGGCAATCCGTTGGATCGCGTACAACTCGGCATTGGGAAATGGGGATGGTATTATCCTTGGGGCAAGTAAAACCGAGCAAATCCGTGAGACGGTCATGATGATGAGGAAGGGACCGTTGCCTGCAGAGGTGCTAGAGGCGGCTGATGATCTTTGGAGCAATGTTGGAGGGATTAGGGGCGAAATCGTTTGAATGTACCCCTTGAACTCACGATCAGATCGAGAGATGGGCTGGGCGGCACTAGATAGGCGAGATGTTCATCAAAGTCTCGAATATTGATTGAGAATATTTCTCTCCCTCTTAGCTAGTTTTGCCACAGTACGCTTAGCCCAATGTTCCAGCCCAGGATCACAGCCAGAGCAACCAAAATACATCCATTCAGCTAAGCATAGATAGGGAAGACTAAGGACTTTTGTGGTAAGTTCGGAAAGGCAAAGATTCTAGTGAAGGCTGACATTGGAATTTGCACGTGGAGATCAAACTCGAAACTACGACATCACGGCTCGAGAAGGAGTTTCTCAGACTCCAGTACCTGTCTGCAGCCTAATTTCCACTCTCCCCTTTGGATTGGGGAAGATGTATTCGTGTGCGCGAACATCATCTGGGCGGCCTTGACCCGATGGGAAGCGGAACTCGAAGTCGAGAAGGAATCGTCCAAGAATAAGCTTAATCACGTTTGAGGCCAGGAACCTTCCAGGACAAGAAAACTTGCCATGGCCGAAGTGTAGAGTGTATGGGTCGGTAGTTGCAAATTGGTGTCTATTTGCATGTCCTTCTTGCTTGCGCATTCCGTAGTATCGGAATCCATCGAAGACTTCGGGATCTGGTATGCTTGGATCGTCCTGCTGGTGCGGCTGGATGGCCATGAGCGTGTGCGCACCTTTGGGGATGAAGGTGCCGTCGGAGAGGGTCCGCTGCTTAAGGAAAGCTCGCTTGAAGCCAACTGTAGTCATTGGATCAGTGTGGTGAGCTTCAAATTGGAAAAGGTGTCGTAATGATGTAACTCACGCAAGCTGGGCGGATGAACTCGCTGTGATTCTTTGACGAAGCTATCGAGCTTGCGCAATTTTGTCAGCGTGGTCTTGCGCCAGCCCTCGTCCTCTTCGACAGCCCTGCGAACTTCTTCCCTCAGCTCGGGAATGTACTCGGGGTATTCGCACATCTGAAATAGTGCCTGGCAAGCTGCCATCGAGGTGGTATGTGATGAAGCCAAAGTCAAGACGAGGGTCCTCTCAGCAAGCTTAGCTGGCCTCGCGTCGACTCCAGTAGCCGCATCATCCATGAACTGAAGTAGATTGTCGAACTTTTCGTCGCGCATGAGCGTGCCGGCAGCCTCCTGTTTGCGTCGTTTGGCAATCAGAGGCTCCAGAACCGCCTTGGCCCTGTATAAGTGCCATCTTACCATCCAGACATATGGCACAAATTGAGCGACATAGACCTTCATCCACTGCGGAAATACTCGAAGCAGAATTATTGATTTGAATGCGTTCGCTGCGTAGCCTTCGATTCATTAGCAGCTGAAGCTACCACAGGTCAAGACATTTACCTCGCGAGGCCTTCAGCCACGTCATGTCCCGGCAAAGCTCGTCCCCCACAAAAAGACGAGATGAGACTCGGCTCACGAGACGGATGATCAAGCTGAAAGCCTCAACAGTATTCCATTCCTCTTCTGAGTGAATGATTAGCACGTTCTTCACGTCTTCAACACAATCCAAGAAAGCAAACTGTCAAAGTCCTGCAACTCCTGGGTCATCGCATAATCAAGCTCATCGCGAATAACCGGGACTAGAGGGCCCAATTTCGGATTCAATCTCGTCTGTAAGACACGGGAGTGGAGATTGCTTTCGGTAAGGATCGAAGTTGCAGAGACTTAACTCTTTAATAGTCTAATAGTATTATTCTTTATAAATTCTAATTTATAATTATAAAGACGATATAATAATAGTTCGTTTATCTTTATTCTATTAAAAATATTTAAATAATTATAATATTCTATAAAGAGTTTTTATTTAATATCTTTAGAGTTAACGATTTTAATAGCGCTAATTTAAATAAAGTAATTCGATTTATAATATCTCTTATACTTCTTTTCTAAATTATAAAGATATAGCTTATTAATTAATATACGAGGATTATATAATTTCTTCTAAAAAGATAACTTTTTTAATAACGAGTTATAGATCTCATTTATAATAAGAATAAATAGATGATTTCTCTTATTATATATTAATTAATAGTATAATATAATATTAATTTTAACGATATTAATAGATTATAGATTTATATCTTATTTTTATTTTATATTTTAAGAAGTAAATATTAATCTCTTTTTATTAGTTAATTCGCTAGAGACGTTTAAGTTAATATATCTGTAAATCTGAAAAGTTTCTATAAAATTTGAAATTGCTAATCGCGCGTATATCGCGGAAATTATAAAATCCGCCGAATTAGTAAATCTAATTAGAATCTATCTAAATTCTATCGATTTAGTAAATCTAATTAGAATCTATCTAAATTCCGCCGATTTAATAACTATTCTAATCTTTTTCGCTAATTCTATTAATTTAATAGTAATACGTATAAAAAAAGAAAAGTTCTAATAATCGACGTTATAACGATAAGGTTTTACGACGATAAGTATTAACGCTAACTTAAATTTAGCTATAAAATTAAATAATTTAATAAAATTAGTTACGTAGATAATACTCTAATATAGCGTATAATAATATATATATTAATAATAATATATATTAATATCATATATATATAGAATAGTACTTAAAGTATATTAGAGTATATTACGTAAAATTTTTAAAGTTATTAAAAATTTTTAAAGTTACTAAATTAATAGAACTAGCGAAAAGAGTTAGAATAGTTATTAAATTAATAAAAAGAATTAGATATAGGTAAAGTCTACTAAATAGACTAAATCGTACTTATAGTACGAACCCGGCGGAAATCGTATGAAAAGGAACTTTTTAGATTTGTAGATATAGTAGAATTCGAGTTATCGTTATATATAGATTAAAGAGAAGATTTTTTTTAAGATAGTCTATAAGATAAAGGATTTCGGTTTCGAATTTAATAAGATAGCGAGATTCTTCGCTATCGAGATCTTATTATTATTATAATTATAGCGATTTAATATAAAAAGAATCTTATCTTTTATTATATCGAGAAGCACTTTATACTTATTTATCTATAGTTTTTCTAGAATTATATTATATATAAAAGAAGCGATAAATATAAAATATATCTATAAATCTAAAAAATTAATTTTCGTATAATTTTCGCCGAGTTCGTATAATTAGCACGATTTAGTCTATTTAGTAGACTTTATCTATATTTAAATTCTTTTCGCTAGTTCTATTAGTTTAATAACTTTAAAATTTTTTAATAACTTTAAAATTTTTACGTAATATACTCTAATATACTTTAAGTACTATTCTATATATATATAATATTAATATATAGTATTATCATTAATATACGTATTATTATATATTATATTAGAGTATTACTTATATAACTAATTTTATTAAATCGTCTAATTTTATAATTAAATTTAAGTTAGCGTTAATACTCGTTATTATAAAATCTTACTATTATAACGTCGATTATTAGAACTTTTCTTTTTTTATATATATTGCTATTAAACTAATAGAACTAACGGAAAAGATTGGAATAGTTATTAAATCGACGGAATTTAAGCGAATTCTAATTAGATTTACTAATTCGACGGATTTTATAATTTCCGCGACAAACGCGCGATTAGCAATTTCAAATTTTGTAGAAACTTTTCAGATTTGCAGATGTATATTCTCTCTTAATAATTATTTATTATTATTATTAAAAGTAAATAGTAAATAATAAGCTTCTTCGCGATTTAATTATTATAATTTTTTAGAGATTTAAATTTTAATAGTAAGATCGATTTTAATAGTAATTCTTTATAAACTCTATAAATTAAAAACTTATTAATAACTATATATATCTTAATATATCTACTATTAATAAGAATATTCTAGAATAAGTATTTTTATTTCTATAATAATAGCGTTATTTATATTCTAAAAGAATAGCGTATTAAAGAATTATTAGAAGTATCTAGTAGATATACGTTATAGATTTCTCTTATTATAACTTTAATAGAGACTATTTATTTCTCGAATTCTTAGAAACTTCGTAAATATCGACTAATAGATTTATTTTATATTCGTTATTAATAATAAGTTTATAGATTTTTATCTCTTATAAGACTTTCTTACTAGCGTTAATCTATTTCTATATTAAATAATTACGCCTTATATAACCCGTCTTTTTATAATTAAAATATATTAAATCTCTTAGATTTATATCGATTATCGCTTTCGATATACTCTAAAAAATATTTAGAGTATAAGTACTTAATATAATAGCGAAAGACGTATAATCCTCGATTATAATAATAATTATCTTCTTTATTTAAGTTATAATAATTTTAAAAATCGTTTTATTAATAGCTAGAGCCAGATATCGTTTATAGTTTACACGCTATAAGTTATTATTATTTATAAGATATTTCTTAATATTTTTTAAAGATATAAATTTATAATTAAAAAGAATTATAAAAATAAAATAGAGTAGGGTATATATTTATAGCTTAATATTTAAATTATTCTTTAAATAGATTTCGTTATAATTAAGTATAAAATTAAGTTTAATAAGTTTTATATAGAACTTATTAAAGGGCTAGATTATCTATTAAAGAGAATTATAATTATATTTTATCTTTTTATAATAATTCGTCTCTTTATAAATCTTAGTTAATTAATTTATAACCTCGCTAACTAATATATAGAGATTTATAATATTTCTATATCTTCTATTTAAAATATAAAAGATCGTTTTTTTATCTATATATAATAGAAAATAGATAATTTAAGATATCTTAATAAGATAGTAATTCTTATTATCTAATAACTTTTCCTTTATTTTAACTAATTAATTCTTTTATATAAGATTCTTATTATTAATAAAGAAAAAAAGATCTAATAATTTAATAGATTTCTCTTTTCTATAGATAGAGAGTAGAATTTAGATAGGCTTTAATAGAGTTAATACTTATATCTTAGAGGTAGTTTATAATCTCTAAATATATTTAATTACATTATTATTAGCTATTATTAAAGCTCTCTATTATATTTTTATAGCTTCTTAATCTTAATATTAACTTACTTTAAGCGTTATTAAATCTTATTCTATTAGTTTACTATCTTATTCTTTTTAATCTTAAAATTAATATATTATTTAACTATATCTCGAAATTAATCTTATTAATAGCGAAGGTTACGAAGTATAGTAAGAAATTAATTAAATTTCTTATTAATCTAATTACGTAGTTAGTTAATATTAATAATTTATTATAAATTCGTAATAGCTATAATATCTTCCGCTATATTATTAGATAGTAAGAATTATTATTAATTAAATATCTAAGTTAGAAGATTACTAACTCGATTTATCTTATTTAATTATATATTAAAAATAATAATTTCGAAATAAAGATAAGAGAGTTATATTATTTCTCTTAATTCTTTAATATTATAAATATTAAGTAAAGAAGAGAAAAGAAAAACTTCTTATAATATTCTTTATAAGGCTTTATTACAAATTCGAAAAATAATATTATATTTTATAAGAACTTTTTTCTCTAATTTATAGATTATTTAGACTATTATAAAAATTATAGATAATCTAAATATTATTCTTTTAAATACTTTTACTTCGCTTAAAGAATTAATTATATAATTATTAAGTTAAATAACGATTTCTTTAGATTTACTAATCGTATAAATAAACTAGTTTAATAATTACTTTATCCCTCTAACTAGTTATAAAATTATTACGCTATTTTAATAAATACTCTTTATAATATATTATCTATATAATAACTTAACTTAATATCTTATTAAAGCTCTTATTAATAGATTTCTTAAATTTATTTATTAATTTAAATATAGTAAGTAAAGTAATCTAGTTATAGTATTAGAATTAATATAAATATAATATTAATATAAGTATATTAAATAAGATAACTAGATATTAGATAGTTATATAGATAGAAGATATTAGATAATAGTAGATAGCTCTATTAAGATACGCTAAGCTCTAATAAGCTATAGGGCTAGATAATATATTAAGAAAGATATAGAATACGGTCGTAACAATTTTAAGTATAAAGTTAAGTAAAAAAATCTCGATAATAACCTCGTTTAATATAATTTAAATAGCGATAAATTCGAAAATTACTAAGATCTAATAAATAATTTCCATAAGAGATATTCTAAAGTATTTTATCTATAAAGAATTAACTAGCGAATAAGATCTTTAATAGTAAAAAAACTCTTTAGGCCGAAACTATCTCGAATACCTCGTTTTTAATTAAATTAAAATCATCCGATATCTTCGCTATAGTCTTATATTTTTTATACTTCTTAAGCTTATATTACTTAATAATAACTTTATATTAGATTTATTAAGTAAGTTTCTTTAATAAAAGAGATCTAAGCGTTTTCTAAAGCTATAATAC